ACACACACACACACACACACACACACACACACACACACACACACACACACATACACATACGCACACACACTGGGGTCTTACACAGAGAGTGATGGTGAGAGGCATGAGATTGGGAGGCAGCAGGCAAAAGGCCACACGGAGGTAATTGATGAAACCATCGGCCATGATACAGTCTGGTGTGTTCTTCACAAATGCACAGCGGTCCACAGCGCTGATGTTCATCACATGGTGACACTGCGCGCACACAAGAAACATTTTATGAAAATTAAGGTTTAAAAACAAAAAAGCATTAGAAGCACCTCCAGAACAGCTGATCAGTGGGTCTCTGTTGACCCCCTAATCTCACTCTGTGTGTACAATACAACACACACTGCAGACAGCATGTGACAGCTTTGACTGTACTTCAATCATAAACGTTTTAATTGAGGGACATACAGCAAATATACTGCATATAGTAAACTTTCTGAAAATGTTAATTTTTTTCTGGCAAAATAAATAACTGACAAATAATCCTTACATTGTTCTAAAATTATCAAATCATAAAACGGTCCTGCTTATGATTCTCACAGTATATACACTTTTTTGGGTACATATATAACATTTAATGTCATCAAATACAACAACTCTGCATTAATTTCTACCTTTACAAAGATAATAATGCTCAGTTTGGATTCACAGAGTCAGAGCTACATTATTTTTATTACTGCAGTGCTGTTGAACTTTGTATTATACTGAGAGTTGTTTCTAATATTTGGCTGACCCTCATCACTAACACACTGAGGTTATAATACAACCAATACCAATACGACCTTAGTAATAAACATACAAATCAATTAACATCTGAAGTTTTAACAGAAACTGTCCATTAAAAAGTACAATATGTGGCAGAGCTACAAAATCAAGTTGTAAGTGTAAGCATACATAATAAGTGTACATAACAGTGTAACCAGGGTGTTTGTAGAGTTGCTCCTGCCATATATCAACTGAAAAAATAAAGTTTTTATTTTTAAATTGGACATATGGTCAAGCTTTGAGAAAGGGCCAGTTCCTCAACAGGAAAAGTTCTGATCAAGACAGTTTCTGCTCAACTTCAGTTCTACATATTCCCAAACAAATTAGCAATTAATCAAATGACACCAACTGCTGTGAAGCTGGGGACTTTTGGAGTCACAACTGCCTGGTGACCAAGGCTAATGTTGGCTTCGGCTTGGTGGTAATCCAGGCTTGATAAAGTTTGATGAACTGTGACTGAGAATAATTTTTTTTATGAATATCGGTGGTGGCAGATAAAGTACAAAGGCTAATTACATCTCCAACATCCATGCACACTTCCTGATTTAATTTTTTTTTACATTTAAGTGTTTGTTTACTGTCACTCTATAGCTCTGAGCTCAGCCACACATCAGTGAATAGATTTTGAAAGTTATTCCATATTCAAACAAACTGTGTACGTCAAAGAAGCTGAGAATATACAATATAAACAGATGGTCATTTTATTGTTCGTATTGTTTGTCAGTGACAAGTTTTTTTAGGATTACTGCAGGGGCCAATCACATTTACCATGGCTCCTCACCTGGATCCGCCCACAATCCATAACAGATTTTTAAATAAATCTTGTATTAAGATTAAGATTTAAAAACAGTTTGAAGCATCTATGAATGTCTTCACTCTCTAGTAAAAGAGACACGTGATCACGCTGTGTATCTCTCGTGGATCTCTCGTGGATCCACCTGTAGCTGGAGGATGTTGACTTGTGACAGACGTGGAAATCAAACGTCAGGTTCCACAGATCGGTCTCGTGGGTCTGTCGCTGATCACGTGACAGACCTCAAATAAACTGCACGTGCAAATGACAAGCGACTCTCGAGCCAGGTGACAGTTGCCATGGTAACTCGTTTATTTGCTCAAACCCCACTGACCTCGTTCTCTTGGTTCTGAAACATCCTGGTCGGTGTGTAGTTTGCGGTCTGTCCGGACACTCCGGCACCGGGCAGGTTCCGGAGCAGAGAGCCGCAGCTGGCCCGCAGCTGGCCCGACGACAGCAGCAGCGCCAGGGGCAGGAAAACGCCACAAGACATGATTCAGTCATAAGGTTGACGTTACCCAGGAGCCGCGTCCATGGTCCCACATCTTCAGTTCAACCCGAAAACAAGCGAGGTGAAAATCAAAGTGTGGAAATGAACGTCGTCGCTGCGCGTTGACTTAAACAGGGTTGTTGTGTGGTGCGTTCACTGTCCTGTACATCGTGTCCACCTTCTACTGAAACCACGCCCTCTGTTTACCAACCAGACCCACCACGAGTTCAAGGACTCCTCGTTAACTCGGCCACTGATACGAATATTTATGTTTTTAGTTTCTAACGCTGGGCTAAATTGTTGCAATATTTTCTTATTTAATTTAATTTGATTTTAAATATACACACACTAATACACCATCACTAAAAATACAAGACAATCCACCCTCTTACAACTAAAATAGGTGGCATGTTCACATAGTTATTGTTCATGATCAGTTTGGAGCTTGAACATTCAGTCTTTCTTACAGTACATGAAGGCACCGTGTAACGAAACACCTCTGACTTTGTTGATTTGAGTTGATCTCTGATTTCTCTCGTCTTTAAAGTCACTGTGGGAATGATTCTCATTATGTGACTGGGAAAAGCCTGGGGTCATGTTTTATAATAATAATTAGGATGATGATGATGTAAATTATATAGAATATTATTATATATTTAAAATCAGAGTCTATTAAGTGCTTTTACAGACAGGATATAACAATGGCATTACATGAGAAGCAAATAAAAAAAGAATAAAAGTAACAACTCAAAAATAAAAAAGATGACATCACATAGAGGCAAGTCTGTAAAATTATTTATTTATCAACATGACACTTTTTGTTGAGGTCACTCAATTAGTTACACGTTTCAAGCTGATTTATGAAGCAAATTCAAAACAGGTGACCAAAGTACTTTTAAATAAAAACACAAAGAGAAGCACGAGAATAAAGTGTATTACACCTTAAAGTGAATTACAAAAACTTTAAGAGAATCAAAAGCCTGAGAAAAAATTGTAAGTCTTCAGTTTACCCTTAAATGTGTCTGTTTAGGTGAGGAGACGACGAGGAGGAGATGAGAGCTGTTGAGAAGGAGCTGAGGAATTAAAGTGAGGGACAGAAAAAGGCAGATCAAGTGAACATTCAGCTTTGAGAGGGCCGGTCATACACTAGTGCAGCATCGAGTGGTGGAGCGCTGGGTTCATAGCAGCCTCTCTCCTGTTTAGTCGCCACGGGACACAAATCCTGTTCACACCATCTGATAAAGGAAAATAAAACATGATCAATGAATGCAAATATGTTTTGTTTTTTTTAATAAGTGAACTTGTTTTTAACCTGAGAGCAGCATAGGTGTCAGATGGAGAGGCTCCTGACCAACAAGCATGGTCGATGAGAAGAGCACCTGTTGACATCAGATACAGACACAGACACACACACATACAGACTTACTTTGGCATTTTTGTCAAATTGACAAAACTGATTGACTAACTGCTGCAGGTGTAATACAATGTGTGTGTTTCTTTGGTACCTACCAGTGTAGATGCGAGCCAGGCTGTATGCCAGGTCTCTTGCTGCCAGTTCCAGACAGCTGGGTTCTCTCTTATCTGCTACTCGAACAAACGTCTGCAGTTCAGTGAGTGCGCTGTCTACTGCTTTAACTGCCGGGCCCAAAGAGGAAACGCTTGATGCACCTGTGAGCAGGGACTACAAGAGGAGGGAAACAAGTGCACATCTCATTCCTGTTCAGCTCTATCACAGACTAGTCACTAAACGTGTCAAAGTGGACCAGTCCCTGACCTCGTACCTTAGCATGAGTGAAGTAAGCGTGAAGAACCATTCCCGAGCTGCGAGCCACACAGCGCAGCACGTCCAGAGACAGAACATTTGTTGTACCTTCCCAAATACTCAAAACCTGAGAGAGAAAGATGTGTATGCTTGAACATTTCAAAAGGTTTTGATTGAATACTGTTGATTGTGTGGTGCTGACCTCACCTGTGCATCACGAAGAAGTCCAGGCAACCCAGTGTCCTCAATGTAGCCCTGTCCGCCGAAGCTTTCCAACCCCTCAGACACCACAGACACCGCCTGAGACAAAAACTGGATTGTGAGGGTTGAAGGAATATCAACAGTTTAGCACCACAAACCGAACTTGTACAAGATGTGCACCTGCTTCCCAGTGTACAGTTTGACCACAGGGGTGAGCAGACGCAGGAGGTACGAATCAAGCTGTGTTGCTGTGCCGCATTCCTCTCGGCCCAACAGATGACACACTTCCATCACCAGAAGAAACGCCCCGCGAGTCTCCACCTGTATGCATGGAAGAGAGCATGAGTGAGGCATGATGGGAAACCCTTTACAGAGTTTGTGTATGACTCCCTGTCAACTTACCTCCATCCTAGCGAGAGTCTGCATGTGCAGTGGGTGGTCTTTAAGAAGCTTTCCAAAGGCAGAGCGGCGAGTGGCATAGTCACGCGCTAACTGCACCACCCTGTGACCACATGTGATTATTAATCAGCTAGTGTTTTTAGAATTTAGAACAGGATGCAGTGGAGTAGAACGATTAGTGTCCTGCCTTCTCATTGCAGCTGCTGCAGAGATGCTGTTGTGGATCCTGGTTATCGTCAGCATGTTGGCAATGGAGGCCACACCTCTCCCTTCATCTGAAAGCTGTAAATAAGAGAAGATAAAATTTGAATTGTTCTTGTAATGGATCAAGAGATAGAGAAACTCATCACACTAGTTACAGGGTGGAAAATAGAGCCTTGAGAATTTTGTCCGAAATATGTGTAAAATTATGTTTATATTTTGTAAACTGCCTGATAACACATATACTACGATAATAACATATTTATACTATAACAGTTTTATTATAAACAAAGTGTGCTGTACAGGATCCTATGTAGTTTCACATTAATTAGATTTACACCAGAAAAGGAGGGAATTTTGAGGTGTGACTGACCCTGTGTGCCGGCAGACCATCCAGCAGTAGCTCAGCAGTTGGCATCTGTCGTGTGCCCAGCTTGTCCTTCAGTCTCTGAACCTCTATACCCCTCAGCCGGCCGGCCTGGTCTCGACTCACCTCTGCATAGAACAGAGACAAACCCCTGCTGCCCTGCAGAACACAGACACATACAGTGCAATGTAACTCACTTTGTAAGCGGCCGACTGATAATGAAGGAGTGCAGGTGTAAGGAGTAAGTTGTACTGGTGTGGTGGCACCCGCTCTGTCCTGCACTCTGGCCAGAGTGAGAGTCATGTCTGCGTCTGTGGCGGAGGTGAACCACTTGTAACCGTGAAGTTTGTATGAACCATCTGATTGGGGAACAGCCACAGTCTCTGTGCCGCTGGCTGAGGACAAACAAGGTGAGGTGTGTTATTCTTTTTCTGCACAACCCCCCCCCCAAGAACAGTGTGTCACAGTGTCAGCACTGACCTACATCAGATCCTCCCTGTCTCTCTGTCATCCACTGTCCAGATGTCCAGAAGCGTTCAGCCAGACGAGTGGTCAAACGACTGTAGGCTTCATCTACAGGCCACGGAACACCTATGGACTTCACAAACACAATCGATCAATACATGAGCAAACTAAGTAAAAAGGTTATTGACGAAATGGAATCATGCATTGAAATAAATAAATACATTTCAGGTTATTTTTGTAATTTTGGTTTGAATTATGGATACAGCCTGTGACTGCTGTTTAAACACTCAAAGTTTGTCTTGCTGTAAAAATGATGATGGTACTTTTTTAAGACATTATGTGTGTCAGATATTTTCTGACATACTGTACCTGGATGACTTTAGCAGCTCCGTCAGTCATGGCCAGAGGACAAGTGTAGAGACCAGAGGAGGGGGAGTAGATGTACAGCTTGCTCATCTGGTACACGCGACTGGAACACAAACACACTTTCTCTCAGTTTCTCCTTTTTTTAACCACTTAAAACTGAAAAAAAAAAGAAATGTACTGGAAAAAAAGGAGGTGCAGCAGTCTTCTAACCTCCACTCCCCACATGGCCTCTCATAGCCAATGGCAACCAGACCTTCCTGTGCCGACAGGTCTTTCATGCGTTTCCACGCTGAGGAGGTCACAATGTCGTCCACTCTGTTACCCCAGGGATCAAAGTGTATCAACTGAGGTGGGGTGAGCTCACACTCTCTGCCCCACGTGTCCACCTCATTCGCCACGCGCTCTCCAAATGCACACAAGTCTGAGAAAGCTGCCTGTGACGTAGACACATATACATTTACGTAGGTTATTTGCATCACAAGATAGACCCTGTTTGGCAGTTGTCACAAATTCAAGTTCTGGCTGTGCTCACCTCTTGGGGCAGGTGTCTCCTCAGGTATCCCCTGAGCAAGGCATCCTCTAGAAAAGGATTCCTCAGCACAGGCCTTTCCTGAAAGAAGGATCCTATCCTGGCTCTGGAAAACGGCAGGTAGTTTGCTGCCTCCCAGACGTGTTCTTCATCAGATCTCCTTGCGCCTGCCTCCGTTTCACTTGCTGATCTGATGTGAACAAGCAGCTGAGGAACCCCACACAGCAGCCTGTGGCAGCCTCCAGCTACATGGCGGTTCAGAAGGGCTGCACGCAGTGACATGGCTCAAGACCTGCAGGCTGAGGTCATCAAATCAGCACTGAGTCAGAGGAAAGGATTGATTTCATTCATTCAGTCATTTCCAGGTTTATTAGGAATTCAACATATAGTTCTGTGAAACTTGTTTACACATAAACCTAAGAAATAAGTTATATTTTAATGCCTTTTTCCAATGGAATTGTTCAGCTTGATCCTACATCTCTAGCTATGTTTTCCCATCGCTCACATTTGTGGATTGTACCTCTTAATAATTCATGGATCTTGATGGAACCAATCACTCATTTTTAGAGGATTGATATTTTTTAAACTGCAATATTCTCTGATTCGAGTTAATCTCACGTGAGCAGATCTAGTTTTGATTAGACGAACATCATAATCTGACCTACAACTTTCTACTGACTGCTAAAGATTTTAAATAAATCTTTCATGATCAACTTGCACATGTTAAAACAACTTGTTATTAAAGAAAGACATAACAAGATCCATATGCTGAGCGAAGGTTGTAATATTCTACAGTATACATTATATTCATCAGTCATGTTATATTTAATGTTCATACAAGAAGTGCTAAAAATACCTTGCATTTATTGTTAGTTACTACCACAACCTACACAAAAGACTAGGAAAACAAGTAACCCGGTTTAGGGGTTACTAGTCCACTCGTACTAAGTGAAGCAGGTAGTGTGGGTCAAACTGGGTCAAAGTTCATTCTGTTCCGCTGTCTTTTTCTGCAAGTATTAGTTTCCCCCTTGACTCATAATACAGTCGAATGATATTGAATTATAGGTAAATGCTTAACACATGTCACAAGTTGCCATAATAACTGCGTCATCTGAAAGGGTAATATCTTTACTCTGCAACAACCACAGCAGCTAACAAGCTAACAAGCTAACAAGCTAACTACGAAGCTTTTCTATTTTATTCGTAACGATATTTTCGCACGTTCACTGTTAAATGTGATTGAATATCAGTGAATCATCTGTAAGAAAATCACAAGTAGATGCATGAAGAAAAACTGACTTACCCCAGCAGTGTTTACATTCAGTGCAGCACACTTCCGTTTTCAAAATAAAAGCCCTGGTTCCTCATCCTTGCCTTTATTTACACAGGTCTTGAGGAATGTGATTTTTTTTTTGTCCAATTCTTTTATGGTGATTTGAATTGTATTCATGGTGATCACAGCAATGCAAATGTAATATTTCATTTATAGTGCTCCGCTTGTTATAGTGAGCCATCAAAAACACGGATGAGTTGTCAAGAGACACATTGACTTTATAAGATAAATAACTATAAGAGTGGCAAATCTCTAACAGTTGGGAAATTGTTTTTTAACACTAATATCTAATGTGTTTTTTTATAAAATGTATTGACTACAAAATTCAATTATAATTTCTCCAAACCCAAATTTTGTTATTTAGCTAATACATAAATATCACAATAACAAGTGGAATACCAAGGGGCACACATTGTAAAAAGGGGTTTCATACGGAGTATCAGGGGCACATGCTGGGGCTGGAGACATGAGAGTTCAATAAAAGTGAGAAAAACATGTAAAATCTAATGCATATAAGGTGTTGCTGAACCTGTTTTATTGTTTTAAGTAAAGATTTGTCAAAAATACAGAATTGCTTGTTCCAATCAGAACATAAAGACTGAAAGCATGCACCGTTTAATAAAACATTTCCATGACATGTTAAAAATCTGTTTGAAAGAAAGAACACAGGCACTAAATGATTATGACCACACAACTTTTGCATTAAACTAAAATACTTTTTTCTCCTCAAAATAAACACTGAACAGTCATAGGCTTGAATGCAGGGGGGATTTAAGGGAATACTCCTACTGATAAAACCCAGTAAGTAGTTGTTGTTTGTGGGTGTGGTTCGTCACCCAGTCATAAAAGATTTACGTGGATTGCTTGACAGACAGACAGACCAGGATGGAGGAAGGTTGATGGGCAACACTGTGTTTTTAGTGTACAAAAATAAAAGTTAACATTTTTGATTAATGGTTGTAGTGTGGAGCACAGCCCATACAAACCCAACTTTTTACTCACCTCTAGTTCTCACCTGACAATGGACCAAAATGAGAAACAAATATAGTCTGCAGTTTAATTATGCAGATGACTATATAAATGGAGCATAAATTCTATTTAACCGACACAAATTATTTCAAAGGTCAATCAGGACACAATGGCTTAAACGTAGTATAAGATACAGTATATAAGCAAGTATATAAAAAGGACTAAAATGAAAACCACAAGCCAGAAGGCTACCCAACTATGTAGAATCACCAAAGACCCTGACCGAACTCAAAGAGCATGCCGGTGCTGCCTTAACACTGACATGATCAAAATCAAACGGTCAAACTAATGACAATCTGATTCAATATGTGGATGGATCAACAATGAAAATGTCCCTAAATATTCCAACCAATTCTGCACATGAGCATGATTTCTCCGGGACATGTAAGCAAGTAATGGTGGAAATGAAAACTGTTTATGTGCACGTCCTCTTCTCTTCTATTTCTCTTTTCGGTCTTCTTTAATCACCCTTAGTGAGGAGGTCCTCTATGTATGCATCAAGCTCGTCATCTGTGTTTATGTCTATGTCCTGAAAGTTGGGAGGAAAAGAAAAGAAGATTACTTTGCTTTTATATTTCAAACAGACAAATGTGGTTTATTTGGCAATCAATAATATGCAGTGCAGATTAGGCAGTCAACAATCTTACCTCTTGTACTTTCTGCAGAAGTGCTACAATGTTTGTTCGAAGTTTCTGGAGTTTCTCGTCTGCTTCCTTCAGTTTGATCTCAGCACTGTTGCTCTTCTCTTCCACAGCTTTGGCCCTGGCATCAGCTCTACTCTGGTATGAGTTACACAATGACTGGAGACCAGATTCATACTGCTGGAAATATTCTTTCTAAATGGAGGGAAAAAAAACCTTAATCACAAGCACTCAAAGAAATACTACAGCAAGAATATATAAATAGTCTTTAATATGTTGTGTGTTCATATGACTTTTGGTTTCTATGTTATACAAAATTGTCACTTCAGCTTTTAAAGTTTTTAAAATGAATAAATCAAATAATCTACTGTCTATCTCACCAAAGGAAAAGCCACCAACTCCTCAGCCGTCATGCTGTTAACATCATCCTTTGGAATCCGGAAAGCAGGAGGGAAAAAGTACCGCAGCATTGTCCTGGACACATAAACACGACAGTGACTGCTGCGATCAGTGCTACTACTACTATTTAGATTTATTTAAAGTGTGTGCTAACAGCACCAGGTCATTATAACCAGCTCACCTCAACATGGTGACCAGGCTGTCTGTCACCTCTCGACTGGTTCCTGGCTGTGTCGTGTCTGGCTCCATGGGTGCCGGCCCCCTCTCGGTCTCCTGTTGGGTGTCAGGCGTCTGAGAGTTTGGAGATGGTGGCCTCATCAACCGGACTTCATCACTTCCCTTAAACACCCTTTTAAGAACACACACATACTTATAAGATGGTAATTATCTAGCATAGAGAAAATGTCCTCTAAAAGCAAAAACACAGACAGAGAATCTTACCATCGGTCTTTTGGGGTGGATCGAGGTACATAGTCAAACTTTACTTTCCAACGAACACTCTGTTTATTTGTCTCCACAGCGATGACTTTGCCCGTGTACCACTCCTTATTGACACGTACTTCAACCAGAAGACCCTTATCTAGAGAAGATATTAACATTAAATGATACATATTCATCCCATTACATCTATCCTCTTCCAGTTATTTGTGTGTGATACACGTCAGGGTAAAGCAGTCCATCATCTTACCCTTCTGAGCATTTTTTAAGTCGTTCTCTGGTTCCGGTTGTGGCGTCTTCTCAGGTCCCTGCAAACATAACAGTCATTACCACCACAGCAGCCTGAAAAACCTTGTTTACTGAAAAGACAGAATGAGGTTAAAAGAAATGATTGAATAAAGCAAAAGCCCCACAGTGCGACCTCAGGCATTGGTTGAGAGTGGCATGCTTGATTGCAGTCATGCGAGAAGATTTTGACTTTTAAGTGAGAACTGTTAGAAGAGAGAACAAACATCTGGATCAGTCCCAAAGATTAAGTTGTCGTGACTGTTAGAAGATGTGAGAGCAGATGCAGCCTCCCTTTATCAGGACGAAGTAGAGAAGAGGGACAGAGTAAAGCTACCTTGGCTGTGGCACCATGCTGTTGTGCAGTAATGGATTTAGGGGCAGAGGTTGGTGTGGTTGGTGTCTGCCGTGTGGGGGTAGACACCCCTTTCTTCTCAGCTTGGGAGAGTATTTTAACCTGCAAGGTCAACAGCAGATATGCTCTGACTGGAGTTTCGGACTTAGACACCAAGGAATATCCTTAATTTTGACATCCTGTCTTTACTAAATGAGCCTGAAATGTATTTATATATATAATATCTCCATATTGCCTGGCATTCACATAAGCTGCTTTCAGACATGCACTGAAATCCGTAGTCCGTCGGTTCCCCTCGATTCCCTGTGTTTTCTCTGGAGGAGGTGCATGTGTGAACCCAAATCTGAGTGAGATGCTGCGCTGTTTCTGCGGACTTTCTCTGCCTGGCCTCCTATATGTACGTAGAATCCCAGGGGATCAATCCCAGGGGAATCTGCTCCAACAAGCCACATGCCAGATAAATAATAATAAGCAAGTAATATTGTGTCTTTTCCAGATGCAGAGAAACAAAGAATACATATTAACCATTTTAAAAGGCAAAGAGTAGTTCAGCCTATTCATGCAACACGTGGAGGGGCTTGTAATATATATCACTGCACTTAAGTTGATGTTATTACATGTTAAGATACTGATTTAAAAAAAGGGGGCAAGCAGCACTGGGGGCACCAAGGCAACAAGTGGCTGAAAAACAGAGACTGCAGCACATTACACAATGAATCACACCCACATTGACATGTACAGCCTGACTCACAGGGTTAAAGTAAATAGTGAATGGTTTTATGCAACGTTTCTACTATTTCCTACAGTTTGTCGTCCTCTGTTGAATGTTGTCTGAAATCTTTTGCATTTTCAGTCAAATTTAAACCTTGAACCAGTGTTCCTGACCTGATCAAATGGGTACTATTGCTTGTTTACCTCGTCCACTTTGCCACGCTTGGGAAGTGGGGCCTTCTCGACCACTTTCCCGTAGTTATTAGCTGCTGCTGCCATCTTGGATTTCTTTGTCTGTGGTTCTTCCTCCTCACTTTCCTCCTCACTGCCCTCCTCTTCTTCCTCCTCCTCCTCTTCTTCTTCCTCCTCCTCCTCCTCACTGTCCTCCTGCTCTTTAATTCTCTTGCGTTGTCCGGCAGCTGGTGCTTTGGCAGAGGATGCTTTGGCAGAGGATGCTTTGACAGATGTCTATGGGTGGAGACAGATTTCACGTTTTCAAACTTTTTGGATTTAGCTGGACATGAATTCAAAGTTAATAACTTTCTCATATCAAACCGGCTATTAGTACTGTGGTATTGGTGAAATACTTTATATAACCTGGAACTTACCCTTGAGCTGCGGCTTGGTGGAGGTGTTTTGGCAGTAGCTTTCGGTGCAGGCTTTGCTGCAGGCTTTGCAGCTGATGGCAGAGCCTTCGCTGCTGCTCTGGACCTTGGTGATTCAACTTTTGGTGGTGGTGGAGGAGCGGCAGCAGTCCGGGTGGGGCGCTGAGAAGAAGCACGAGCTGGAGGGGTAGTTGAGGCGTTTTTGAGGTGAGCGGGGAGTGGTGGAGAGCGGGGCCGTGTTATGGATCTCTCAGAAGATCTAGTTGCCTGCACCAACAACACAGAAAATTGAAACAGCAGGTGTTAGTGAGCTACTTTATGTAAGACGTGGACATTAAATCAGTGCTTTCAAAAGAATGTAACAGGAGTATTAAAACAGTTAACTTGTACCTGAGAGGAGCCCTCTGTTGGTTTCATGCTGACCTCCATCGGAAGCTTCTTTACATCCACTGCAGATTTGATGGTGCTGGTTTTCTGAGAGGGAAAAAATAACATTTACGTACTAATGTACTCAAAACACAGCAAGACAGAGAGAGAAGGATAA